GTAGGATATAATTTGAAATGACTTCAAAATAATTGAGTAGATAAATATATGAATGAATAAGAAAATAAAATTAGACATTCAGTCCCGACAGAACAGCCGGAACCTCACATCCTTTTTCTCAAAAGAAAAAAAACTGAAAATAACCGTATTATAGGCTTCAGCAAGTAATTAGTACAAATTACTTACCTAACCAAGTGCCTCGCCTACCCGGACTGAGTTTCGGGTTCTGCCCCCGAGGATGCACTCTCCGCATCCTATCTAGGCTTACAGCAATAGACTCTCTTACCGGTTCACAAGATCTCTTTATTAAGAAATCATTCATTAACATTCTGAAATCGTTAACATGCCCCCACGAACTACTCAAGCCGCGGGCCCCATGACTGGGCAAGCCATGAGGTTCCATGACTAATCAAGCCATGGTTTTCAAAGTGTTTTTCTTTCACAAACCAATCCCTTTCTTTAAAACATTTTCAAGGCCAAATCTTCTTTTAAAAATAGGCTCACAAGGAAAAAGGATAGAAATCCTACCTCGCACTTTCAAACCTGGGACTAGCATTGCCTTTTCCGGCTTTCGCTTCCTCAAGTCCCTTCAGTCTGAATCCTCAGTGATCACTGATGCAAGACAACACTTTAGGATTAATTCTCATTCCTGAAGCAATCCAAATCTCAATTTCCAACCAAGATTTCCTATTAGTGTGCCCTAATCCATTTTCATGTTTCAAATTATCATTTCAAGGGTTTTCAATCTCAAAACAAGGATTAAAGATGCTAATCCATTCATCTCAAGTCCCCAAATGAAGCTAATTTGTGTTCTCCCCGAAAACAGGGGTCAAAACAACAATTTCAGGCCAAAAAGCATCAAACCCGTGTGCACCGGTTGACCGGTGACAGAGCAGTACATTACCACCGATCGACTAGTGGTGTGCACTCCGGTCGACTGGACAGGTCGTCCGGTCAGGCCAATGCAATCCGGTCGACCGCACAGGTCGACCGGTGGAATCAACTACGCGAGAGAAGCTCGCGGAAACCAGTCCAAAACCTGCAAATCTCAGTCCCAAATCGAGATATTTCAAAGGAAAACCACTTGATCTGGGTTCTAGGTCCTAAAACAAGTCCAAAGAACCTAAGATCTCTAATTTCTACTCTAGTTTTACTCAAAAACCATCAAAATCCGATTTGAACCAAAAATAAGTTTTGAAATTCAAAAACTTGAGATTCAAGAGAGGTTCTTTCAGTAATCTTACCTCGAATCCTTCTTTTGACGCTGAAAACTTCTTTAAATCTTTCTTTGGTTCAAGATACGTTTGATTTGGGACAAAAATGAGAGAGAGAGAGAGAGCACGGGAGAGTGGGAGAGAGTGAGAGGTGCACGGGAAAGGAAAGGAAAAAGGAAAGGAAAAGGAAAAAGGAAAGGAAAAAGGAAAAAGAAAAGAAAAGGAAAAGGAAAAGAAAAGGACATGTGTACAATATTTTAAAACAACAGTCCAGAAATGCGCCCATACACACTTCTGGGTTAAAATAAATTACTGAGAATAATTTAAATACCTTAGAACTATTTAAACTCACACGTCAGAAACATTTATTAATCAAAACTCAATTAATTACATCAGATTAGGCACACTAATAATCCCAATTACCTTAATTAATCTCAATTAATTCTTCAGGGTGTTACACAAACCATCCCTCCATGGAAGTAGACAACCTTTACAATCTTAACACGAATAAGATCCCCAAATCTTATTCCATCCATTGTGGACCTTTTATTTAGACTGTTATCGAATCACCATGTATTCTATGTATACCTCGTATACAATAGTAATCCGATATGTTACCAACAACCTAGGAGTATTTATATTTGCTCAATTAATCATATATTCAACAAATGAAAGTAAATAGGACACTACTTATTAAACATGAATAACCTTTTTTTATTAATATCAAGATTTCAATTTATAGAAAATCCCTAGAATCGATTTTCTATCCTTAGAGAACATATAGATCCCAACAATCTCCCACTTTCCCTAAGCGAGTAAATGTGACATATTGCGCAACCCCATCCCTTCGACGTGTTCTTCGAATCTTCTGGCCGCCAAAGTTTTCGTGAACGGGTCAGCAAGATTGTCCTCTAATGTGATTTTGCAAACCGTCACATCTCCACTCTCTACAAAGCCTCTGATAATGTGATATTTTCTGTCAATGTGCTTACTCTTCTTATGATGCCTAGGATCCGTGGTATTAGCTACTGCTGCACTGTTGTTACAGTAGAGCACCATAGCTTTATCCATACCAGGAACGACCTCAAGGTCATTAAGGAACCTGCGGAGCCATACCGCTTCCTTAGATGCCTCACTAGCAGCCACATACTCGGCTTCCATGGTCGAGTTAGCAATGCATGATTGCTTAACACTCCTCCACACAACGACACCACCTCCAAGGGTAAAGACAGATCCTGAAGTCAATTTTCTAGAATCCTGATTTGATTGAAAATTAGAATATGTGTACCCTATAGGAACAAGTTCCTGACCGGAATACACTAACATATAATCCCTCATTCTCCGTAGATACTTGAGTATATGCTTGACCGCAGCCCAATGGTTCGGTCTCGGATTCGACTGATATCGACTTACCATACCAACCGCAAAACAAATGTCAGGCCTAGTGCATAACATGGCGTACATAAGACTACCTACCACAGATGCATAAGGTACGTCTTTCATATGCTTCCTTTCCTCCGATGTCTTAGGACAGTCATCTCTAGAAAGTTTGATTCCCATCCTGAAGGGTTGAGCACCTTTCTTGGAATCTTTCATAGAAAACCTCTCAAGTACCTTGTCAATGTATGAAGCTTGGGAGAGTGCTATCGTTTTGTTCTTTCTATCTCTAAAGAGTTGAATTCCAAGAACATAACTAACATCTCCTAAGTCCTTCATGTCAAATTGTTTGGCCAACCAAACTTTGACAGATGATAGTGTTGCTACATCATTTCCGATAAGCAAGATATCATCCACATAAAGCACAAGGAAAACCACCTTCTCGTTCTTGATACATTTATAAACACATGGTTTATCAATGTTTTGTTCGAATCCATAGGTTTTGATCACTTGATCAAACCTAATATTCCAAGAACGAGATGCTTGCTTTAATCCATAGATGGATTTAAGCAACTTGCATACCTTGTCTTCTTGGCCTTTAGCCTTGAACCTGTCTGGTTGTATCATATAGATGTCCTCCTCAAGAGAGCCATTCAAGAAAGCTGTCTTGACATCCATTTGTCAGATCTCATAATTGAGAGCAGCCGCAATGGATAAGAGAATGCGGATTGACTTTAACATTGCTACAGACGAGAAGGTTTCTTCATAATCGATTCCTTCCTTTTGCGTATAGCCCTTTGCTACATGTCTTGCCTTGAAAGTTTCCACTTTCCCATCCGCTCCTCTCTTCCTCTTGTATACCCACTTACACCCAATCGGTTTTATGCCTTGAGGTAAGTCTACAAGATTCCAGACCCCGTTGGAATCCATAGATTCCATCTCGGTGTTCATAGCCTTTTGCCAAAGACTAGAATCAACATCCTCCATAGCTTCCTTGTACGTAGCCGGATCGTTAACATGTTCTATGGATTCTGCCTCAAAGACTTCACCATTGAACATATACCTATCAGGTTCCCTAACAATCCTCCCACTATGATGAAGCTCCAACGGTTGTTGATTCTCTAGTGGTTTTTCCACAGGGTTTCCAGTGACTTTAGGAACATCCAAACCCGAAGTCATTTCCTCAAGCACCACTTTGCTATGAGGTTTAAAGTCTTCCATGTAACTTTCCTCGAGGAATATCACATGTGTGGAGACGAAGACTTTATTTTGTTCCGGATTATAAAACAGGCCACCTTTTGTCCCTTTTGGATAGCCAACAAATAAGCACACTTCTGATCGTGACTCCAACTTCTTCGCTTCCTTATCCAGGACGTGTGCCGGACAACCCCAAATTCGAATATGATTCAAATTAGGTTTCCTACTCATCCATAACTCGAAAGGAGTTTTAGGAATCGATTTAGAGGGAGCGTTATTCAGAAGATAGCATGCAGTTTGTATGGCGTGCCCCCAAAATGACAAAGGTAATGTGGAGTAACTCAACATAGACTGAACCATATCCAATAAGGTCCTATTCCTTCTCTCAGCTACACCATTCTGTTGAGGAGTACCAGGTGCAGTCAACTGGGATTGTGTCCCATTCTCTATCAAATGTCCTAAGAACTCATCCGATAGGTATTCCCCACCTCGATCCGATCGAAGTGACTTAATAGATTTGCCTAATTGTTTCTCCGCTTTAGCCTGAAATTCTTTGAACTTGTCAAAGGTTTCACTTTTGCGGGTAATCAAATAGACATATCCATGCCTCGAGTAATCGTCAATAAATGTGACGTAATACTCATACCCACCACGTGCTTCTTTGTTCATGGGACCACAAACATCCGTATGCACAAGTTCTAAAAGTTCCTCGGTACGACTACCCTTGGCAGCAAAGTGGCTTTTGGTTATCTTACCCTCCAAACAGGATTCGCATTGTGGCCAAGGTTCAACCTCATACAAGTCAAGGCATTCCTCCTTTACCATCCTTTGAATTCTGTTAAGGCCTATGTGACCTAGTCGTAAATGCCAAAGATATGATTTGTTAGAGTGAGAAGGCTTATGTCTTTTAGAGTTCCTCTCCAATTCTGTATCAAGTAGTGAGTGCATCTTAGGTTTGATAAAATAAAGATTTACATGCATCCATTACAAATAAGAGAATTGTTTTTCCTAATAACAACTTTATCATTAAAAGAAACTGAATAGGAGTCTTTAATTAAACAAGCTACCGAAATTAGGTTCCTTTTGAAACTAGGAACATAAAAACAATGTCTCAAGACAATAAATCTAAATTCGTCGAAGTAAAGATGCACATCTCCCATTACTTCAGCTCGCACCAACGTCGCATCACCGGTTCTTAACGTGAAGTTCTCCTCACGCAGACTTCTCGTTACCTTGAACCCCTGCAGAGAAATACAAACATGGTTAGTGGCTCCAGAATCTATAATCCAAGTATCCTTAGATTCTTCCACTAAACAAGCCTCAAGATACAAGATATCGAAATTACCTCTTTGCTTTTGCATAGTCAGGTAGTCTCTGCAATCCTTTTTGAAGTGTCCCTTCTTCCCACAGAAAAAACATGTAGCCTTCTTAGGATCCACCTTCTGCTTCTTAGTCTTGGTAGACTTCTTAGGAGTAGGTGCCTTCGCCGCAGGCTTGTTCCCCTTGTTCTTCCCCTTTGCCTTCTTCCTTATGGGATTAGGCGCAGGTGAACCAGGTTCAGCCACATTTGCCTCAACCTTATTTCCAGAACCCTTGAAAATGTTCTCAAAGGCTTGTAACTCCTTCATCAATTTTGTTATAGACATCTCCTTCCAGTTAAGGTTGTAGGATGCCTGAAACAGATTGAAATCTTTGAACAAGGTTTGGAAAACCATGACCAATTGGGCAGCAGCGTCAATCTCAGCCCCATTCATCTGAGCTTCAGATAAATAAGCCATGATTTTCATCATGTGCTCCTTGATGGGCGTTCCAACCTTTTGCTTGCAGTTCATGAGACCTTTGATAGCTTCGGTCTTAGCCTGGATAGTTTGTTCACCAAACATCTCCTCCAGGTTGTCCATGATTTGCCTAGCAGTTTTGTGCTCTTCATGTTGTTTCTAGAGCACGTTAGACATGCTCGCCTGAATATAGCACATAACACTAAGTTTGGAATTGTCCCAGCGCTCAAGCGCTACAAATTCCCTAGCAGGAGCATCGATCGCAGGCATGGGCGGTCGAGGTTGGGTTAGGACGAAATTGTGTTTCTCAAAATTAAGGACAATGAGCAAGTTCCTTTTCCAGTCATTAAAATTTTCGCCGGTTAATTTGTTTTGCGTAAGTATCACAGATAATGGGCTTGACATTTTGATCTATAATAATAAGAAAATATGTAATAAGTATGAGCAAACATCCCTTTTTAATTTTCAAAAAAAATTGGGTTTCGTAATGAAACAAAAAGATCTAAATGCAATCTAAATGTTTATGTGTAAAGCCCTTAAAAAAAACACATACCTTACAGTGATAATTCCTAGCAACTGCTTTCCAAGCTACCGACGGGTAGTCGTGGAAGAACTAGCCAAGAACACGGATCCCTTCCAATTAATATATATTCGTCCATGAAGCTTAACCCTATTAAATATATATTAACTATCACTTATTTGGCCACCACTTTAAATAACAGTGCCTCGAGGGAGGGATAATAAATAAAGTAGCGTGAGTGTATAACCGTGTTTCCAATTTTGAATCCATATTTTACATCCGCCACCGAGGGGTGATCTAAATATAAAATATGCACAAAATTGTTATCCTTTCGGAAATCCAAATCAGTGTGCGCTCTAGGTAAGATACCCATCTGAAGGGAATTCTCGGGTCGAAACCGAGTAGTAGGCACTACCATGCGTAACTATTGGACCAACGATGGAGGCCGTAGGTCTTAGTGTGTAAAACCTTCTCCCACTCAATCTTTTGAATTAGGGTTTTTGTTTTTCATGCATAAACAATATTTATTGAGTGGCACTCCCTAGTCTATATGGCATGTTATCAATACATTGCGAAATAGTATATCATATTTATCTAGCATCGCATCATCCATGATTTGCAAAATAAGTAAATAGCCGTGGATCATGATTCCATCCTAGAGAAAAGAAAATTTGTAAAATTTACAAAAAATAACCGAAACATATATCGGCCTTCTTTTGTAGATCCATGCCTTGTATCCTTCTTCAATGTCACGTCCTTCGTTCATCTTCAATCTCCTTGAATCCATTGTAGCCTGAATTTACAAATAAAAAATTCCTATGCCGTTTCCGGCTTACAAAAATTCTAGGAATTGAAAGAACGACCTAGCGATGATAATAGACCGCATCTATTACATTTGAAAAATCTAGATACAAATTCTAACCTCTATGGAATCATGACCGGCAAAATTGAACAAGCATCATATATTAAAAAAATAATATAAAGCATTCATTCATCCATACATCCATTCACAATATATTTAACATACACACAATTAAACCTAGAGTGCCAACTCTCTAAAATATTTCATTAATGCATAGAGAGAAATTCATTTGATCAAATAATTTATGTTATATACATGATCATGAGCTGGCCCTGATACCAATTGTTGGAAAAATAGATCCGGTTATCAGAGTTACGGCGCAGCGGAAGTTTTAAAATTTTAATGCCGAACAAGGAAAGAAGACTCATGATGTATATAATAATAAATTAAAAGCATGATCAAACATACCTTGTTTCTTGGACTTTGGAATGTTTGGAGCGTCAACCAATGAATCTTCTCCACTATTCTCGAGTTCCACGTCTCAGAGTGTGTGTGGGCACATGTGGTAAGGTTCCAAGCGATCGGTATAGCACTATGAACCCTAGATCCCACTTTCTCAACCTTAACTTACTTTGTTAAGATAACGATCTAGATTCGTTCTTCAAAACTTCAAGACATGAACAAGTTGACCTCGATCTTTTTCACTCGATAAGCTTTTCTAAGCATTATAGAAAGTAAGATAAACCTGTAATATAATAATAAATCAATGTACTAAGCAACAATACAATAATAAATGAATATAGTCATCATCAATAAAAGATATAGGTATTAAAAGATATGACATATATATGTATATATTGGATACAAATAGGCATATGACATAAATGAGTAACAAACCAATACACAAGAATTATATACCGGTGAAAATCAGAAAAAGACAACCATGAATCAGAAACATTTAGTAAAAATAAGAAGAAACTTTTCTAAGTATTATAAAAAATGACACAAAGCATGAATAGAACAATAGATCAATATACTTAGCATCAACAAAATATATACATGTTAAAAGATATCATATGTACATATGTTGGATACAAATACATATATGTCATAAATAAATAGCAAACCAATACATAAGCATTATATGCTCGTGAAAATCAGAAAAAGACAACCATAAATCGCTAACATTTATTAACAATAATAAGATACTTTTCTGAGCATTATAAAAAATTACAGAAAGTGACAACACAGTAATAAACCAATATACTCAGCATCAATGAAACATATGGGTATTAATTAGCAATAGTACCTGAAATATGATCAACAGAGTGTTAAACAACGAATCTCAGCCAACCAAAGAGAAGTAAAAGAGGTAGAGCAAAGACAATAAGGCAGTAAATAGGCAAAGGCACAGTAAAGGAGTAAATGAGAGGCAATAGAGTAGAAATATAAAGATGACAAGTGCAATAGAAATAGTTGGGGTCTCTTGAGAACTCATGAACGTTCTACGCATATAAAAAGAGGAAGATGATGAATAATAAGATGACACCTAGTAATGCAAAGTCGGTGAAAAAACTGAGAAAGTATTTACAAAAAAAGACACTAAAATAAAGAAGAAAAAAAAGGAAAGGACAATACTAAGGCTAGATTTTTTCCTTCTAGACTAAGCAAAAAAAAAAAAAAAACAAGAAAATCACAACGCATTTAATGCCTCTGCTGTAAGAAGGACGAAAATCATTAACCTAAGAATACAAATCAGCATCCTAAATATCATAAGTTATTATCAATAAATCAATATCTATCAGTCCTTTTTTTAAAAAAAATCTTTTGCATGTTTTGAGAAAATAACAATCTAACATGAAAAAAAAATTTCCTCCTTTTTTTCCTCAAGTTGTCTGCATATTTCAAAGGATAAAAATCAACGAAAAACAAAATCAGAGACTCATTTAATGCTTCTACAATAAGAAGGAAACAAATCATCCATCTAACAGTACAAACCAGTATTGTAAGCCTTACAAATTAGCACCACAAATCAGCATATAAAGAAATACAAAGCACATTAATCTAACCAAAACTCAGATCCAAAATTCGGGAACATGAAAATCTACAAAGGAATGAAAATATCTGCACTTCGCCTCTAAAAATTAGCCACGAACAAAACAAACAATCATTAGCAAACCTATACATATTTAAAAAAAAAAATTATAACAAAACTTCCAAATTATCAATGACTAAATAAAATTTTAAAAACATAGCCGAAGAAGACTAATTTATCTAACAAAAAAAAAAAAAGATTACACCAAACCTGCAACAATAATTGAATGGAGAAAACAAAAAAAAGATGAAGAAGAGGATGAATCAAAAGAGCGAAATAGAAGACCCAACCAAAATCCCCGATGGAAACAACGGAAAAAAAGATGAAGAAGAGGATGAATCAAAAGAGCAAAATAGAAAACCCAACCAAAATTCCCGATGGAAATAACAGAAACATGAGCGGGAACAGTAAAAATCTCACCCAAATTTCCTTAATTGAAAGAGAAAAGGAGTAAAAGACAATTAAAAATATCTACACCGCAAACATCAACAAAAGAAAGATCAAATAAGAAACGGTAACAATGAGGAAGATCAGAAAATAAGAAGCAGCCGAAGCAATGAGTAAGTAAAAGCAAATGACGAAATGAAAGAAGCGGCCGCAGAGAAGAAAACGAAGCAGAACAATAGGGAAGCAAAGTAATGAAGCCCTAAATAGGTGAAATTACAAAAGCGCCCATGCACTAAGGAAGAAACGAAGAAGAAAGGAAAAAGGCAAAGCCGAGAAAACAACGTGGCAAAGAGACAAAAATGCCCACATTCAGAAAAGAGAAGAAAGAAAAAAAGCAAAGGGCAAAACGGGGGAAAAAAAGTTACTGTACAATGAATAATGTTCTGTGAGAGGATGAACAGTGCCAATGGGGCTTTCTTTTCCTTTAATATATATATAATTTCTCTTTACTCTTCAAAACATTTAGTGGACGTTTGGTTTATAGATTCAGAATCATGATTCAGAATCATTCTCAATTTATGTATATATTTTATGAGAAAAAATATAGCGAATCACGAATTATGATTCAAATCATGATACGAATCTACCAACCAAACACATGCTTATTCAAGATTGGCGTATTTACATTTGGGCCTAGTTGACAGTTTAACAAGGCCCATCCAAATTACTCCCCATTTCCATTAGTTAGCCCAATGAAGTCCCGCCCTTT